ATTTTTTTACGTAAGAAAGGTATCTTGGTAAAAATCGCTACGAGCAACCGTTCTCAAGATATTTAGATTGAAAGTAGTCAATATTTGTCATTATTGACAAAAAATAAACATATGTTGAGTAGATCGTTTTTTGACTGAAATGATTAATTTGGGAACTTTCTATTTTTTGAATTACTTAATCATAAACTTTTCTTCGAAAAATGATGATAAAACAGTTTCTGTTGAACTTTTGGCACAAAAACATTTTAAATTTATCATTTCGGTCTAGTAACTATTTAGTCAACATGTTTAATTTATCTCAATGATGACAGGTATTGATAATTTAGATTCCAAATATCTCGGGAACCATTACTAGTAGCGATTTTTACCAGGAGACTTTTTTATATGTAGGTGGCGCCCTCTACAAGTAGGAGTCATATTGACATCAAAATCAAATTTCTCATGTTAAAAAACTTCCAGGCACCAATTGTCATCCAAATATTGAATTTAATTCATAAATTATTTGGACGGAAACAAAAATGAAACTTCTACACTCTGTATCTCCGAAACTAAGCATTTTAGGACATATTTTATTCCATATTTATACAGGGTGTTTCAAAACAAATGCGAAAAACTTCAGGGGGTGATTCCTTGTTCAAAATAAAGGGTAGTTTGCTTCATAAACGTTGGGTCAAAAGTCAACCATTAGGGAGATATCGCGGTACAAAGATGGCGGAAAAATAATGTTTTTATTTTTTATCTTGAAAACGAAAAGAGATAGACAATGAAATTTTATGGAAGCATTACTGTTATGAAAACACCCTTTCCGGTAATTTTTTCATTTTTTTAAAATGAGTGGAAGGGGTTGAAATAAACTACCCCTATCATTCTTGTTAACGAAATTTAAAGAAAAATCTTATCAAACACATGCAAAAAAGTTAATTTGGATAGTTTAGTTTGTTTAGAAACTTTTTTATTTCTTGTATTTTTTTCATAAAACTCACCGATTTGAAATTAAAAAATAAAACGTAAAGCATTACATGTCAGGGCAAAAAACATTTTCTGATAAAGAATCTAGTGGGCTGCTGTAATTTTTTTAGGAAAAAATCTAGTCGGCCGCTGTTACTTTTTAGGATGTTTCTAATATTATTTTATTTGGCATTACTCGACCGCAATACGTTATTATCTAGATGATTATTATTATCGTTATTTTCTTTCTAAGATTGTTAATCTAAAAATGTGTTTTGTCCTGACATGTAAAGATTTACATTTTATTTTTTAATTTCAAATCGGTGAGTTTTATCAAAAAAACACAAGAGATAAAAAAGTTTCTAAACAAACTAAACTATCCAAATTAATTTTTTTGCATGTGTTTGATAAGATTTTTCTTTAAATTTCGTTAACAAGAATGATAGGGGTTTGGTTTGGTTGTGATTTTTAAATTTTAAATTTCGTTAACAAGTATAATAGGGGTAGTTTATTTCAACCCCTTCCACTCATTTTAAAAAAGTGAAAAAATTACCAGAAAGTGTGTTTTCATAACAGTAATGCTTCCATAAAATTTCATTAGTCTATCTCTTTTCGTTTTCAAGATAAAAAATAAAAACATTATTTTTCCACCATCTTTGTACCGCGATATCTCCCTAATGATTGACTTTTGACCCAACGTTTATAAAGCAAACTCCCCTTTATTTTGAACAAGGAATCACCCCCTGAAGTTTTTCGCATTTGTTTTGAAACACCCTATATATTATAAAAGAGATATTTTATTCCAAGTTGTCAAGCAACATTGTTAATTAACATTATAAAATAACAGAGATATTATCTTCATTTATTATGTTATTTCACTTATGAACCGCCGCTTTTTATTCTGTCTCTCTGTTTGTTTACTGGTTGTATACTATATTTATCAATTTGTATTGACTAAGAGTGGGTCCCAGGTGGAACACTCCACTGCGGCCGCGAGGGCCTATTGCGGCTATATATTTATCTATGTCGGATGCATTAAAAGACAGACCACGGAAATAAAGTGACCAGTATGGTATGTTATATCCAAGAAAATAGGCCTTTAAATACGAAGTTTCCGTAAAATCTTGAATTTTTGATATAAGGTACTTTGAAAGATCTAAAGAGAAGGGGTGAAATAAATAAAATTATTTTTTCGAAATTTTGGACAAACGGTAAGAACTAGAGAAAAAAGTTTAAACAAAAGTTGTGGAGCGTTAAATTTTACATAGAAATGATCTCTATACTTTTTTTGCTCAGATCAAAATTAACCGAGATAGTGTGGCTAGAAGCTAGGGGATGATAGTACAAATTTAAAAAAAATTACAAGTCGCTGAAAAATTCAAATATTTAACATTTTTCTTCAATTTGTTTGGAAAATTATAAATTTCAATTAAGATCTTTTTAAATTTATCCCGATAAGGGTTCGCCCCCAAATATAACTAAAGTGTTTTTTTTTCTCCAAATTTCAGAGAAACGGTAAGGAAACAAATGTTTTAAAAAAAGCTGTCCTCTAGCTTCTAGCATAGTTTAAGGAAAATAGTAGTTGTACTCTCGCAAATATTTTCTGCCAGTTTTTGCAATCTGTCGAATATCGGCAGATTGCAAAGCGTGTTAGTTGAATTCCATCCGTCGAGCTGCGAGGCTCGAGCGTTGCGTCCCAGCACAGAGACGGAGTGACAAAAAATGAGTGCCTTACTGTGTGCTGCTATTAATTGTAGTAATAATCCAAAAAATTGTTCTTTGAGTTTTTTTTAGATTTCCATCGGATGTAAATCGGCAAGCTGATAGTAATTATCAATAAACATTTAATTATATTTGTTTATTTTAGAAGCTAATATATTATGTAATTAATTAAATGCTATTTTTTAGCATGTGGGCAGATTTTAAAAATAGATTTTTAGATATACAGGTTGTCTCAAATATGCGCGTGAAAATATTTTTTGGTCAGGGGATTTGCCATAAAATTTTCATTGCAATAATAATTTACGAGATAATTTATATAGATTGGTTTTTGAAACAATTTTAGAGTAAATATTTTGTACATCTAAAGTCTCCGCAAATTATTCATATTTTTTAATTGAAAGAATAATTTTATAATAGCATAATCTCTTATAAATTTAGTGGACTGCATTTTTTTATGTTTTTTTTTTATTTTAATTATTTTTTATTATATGTGGTCGTTAATATAACAATATTCAAAATATTATAGACAAAATATTGAGTTTATATTTGAGGGAAGAAAAGTGCCATACCTAGCTTTAAACCACCGTAAATATACAGGGTGGCCCATTAGTGCAAGAAAGTCCAATATTGTCGCCGCTGTCGAAGATGTGAAAAAAGTTTTATTCATATGTTTGAAGGTTTATAAAGGAGCGTATCCTAAAATATTTTGTTATATACACTGTGTCACAAAAAAGTTATGGTAAAGTTAGTTTTTTTTAACTGCCTAACCAACTGTACCCCCCCTCCATTTTTCTCTAGATAATCGGATTTGGCATAAAATTCTGCAAATAGTACACTATTTTTATTTGAATCATTCTCCAGTGACATTATATCCGAAAAGTTGTAAAAAAACTAGAGTGAATATAACTTTATTAACACTTGGCTTTATTATAGCCAAGTGTTAATAAAGAAAATAGAAAATATAGCCAAGTGTTAGGCTATATTTTCCTAAACATGGATAACAAATCCGCGTAGAAAAAATTTCATTATTCTATATAGGGTATTTTTTATGGCGTCACCAAAATCGGAATATTTAAATTTCTGTATATTATTTTTCTGTCAGATGCAGAATTAAAAAGTGAACATTTTTTTATTTAAAGTGTTTCTAAATGTTTAACGGTTTCGCAGATATTCGCAGTATTATATTACATATAGCTCTTTCAACAGTAAATGTTTATCAAAGCCACCTAATATGATCTTTGTCTGATATTTTATCGTTGAAAATCCCATATGTAATGAAATACAGAAAATATTTGCAAAACGGCTAAAAATTTAAGAACACTTTAAACTTTAAATACAAAAAGTGTTTACCTTTTAATTCTACATCTGAAAGAAAAATAATATACAAGGTGTTGCATTTAAAAAAAATGAGATACAACATTTTAAATATTACGATTTTGGTGACGCCATAAAAAATACCCTGTATATGATAAAGTAAATTTTTCTACACGAATTTATTCTGGTATCCTTCATGTTTAAGAAAACATAGCTAAGTATTAATAAAGTTATATTCACTCTAGTTTTTTACCACTTTTCGTATATAATGTTTTTAACGAAAATTTTACTAAATAAGAAATAGAATGGTAACAGAAAGTTATCTACAGAAAATTAAACTTGTTTTAAATCAAAAAAAGTTCTGGAAAATCTCTGAAATATATAATATTATAAAAATATGTCATATATATTTTTTCCGCATTTCTTCCCATCAGAAGATTTTCAGATACAGAAGAATTGTTACTTACACGAAATGTGAAAATATTCTGTTTTCAGCCAAGTTTTTACTCGATGATCATTTTTTTTATTTTATTTGATTGTGAACTCATATTTTCCTAAATACATATCTGTTAAACTATGGCGAGTGCCACGACTATACTTTGCCTAGTTAATAGACGACGACTATACAGCTACGTCAGTGGTCACGGGAGGCGAGAACAAGGTCATATAAAGTGGTAGAAAAAGAACAAAGGATTTGACAAGGAGTAAAGCTACTAATGCATCTAGTCTCCTATCCCGGTTAATTTTGATTTAAGCAAAAAAATTATAGAGACCATTTTTATGTAAAATTGGACGCTTTACAAGTCTTATTTAATTTTTTTTTAGTCTTATGGTTTCTATAATTTTATTTATTTATTTCACCCCTTCTGGAGGGTGAATTTAAAAAAAAAATACAATTCGTTTTTAGATCTTTTAAAGTAACTAATATCAAAAATTCAAGTTTTTACCAAAACTTCGTATTTGAGGGCATATTTCTTGGACTATCAGGATTCTTGCTAAAAAATAAGTAATTTTACCTTAATTTTATTCTTACACAACTTTATTTGTTTCAGAACTGGAAGATTCTTAACAAAATTAGATTCGATATATTCCAATTCATTTTCTTCTAAATCGATATTGGAGAGATGCTGTAATTTATGGAAAACGTGTTCCTTAAGTTCTTTTATAAAGTTATGGGCCAACTTCAAGGCCCTTAACGATGGCAAACTTCCTAAAATTTCCGGATCGATCGAGTTCAGCCTGTTATAATTTATATTTAATATTCTCAGGTTCTTTAACCCCATGAAAGCCGAAGGTAATCTTACAAGCTTGTTAGATGATACATCGATCATTTGTAGTTCATTGTTTTTATCCATTGTTCCGGGTAAAATTTCATTGATAAGATTTTGTGTTAAATTTAATCTTTTTAAATGTGTTATGGAATGAAACAGTTCAGGATTTATTAGCTCTAATCTGTTATTTCCTAAATTTAAATCTCTTAGGTCACTAGTGTCCCTAAAGACATACGTTCCTAAATGAATTAGTCCATTTTCCATTAAGTCCAATGCCTCTAATTTACTTAATCCTCTCAGTGTACCATCCTCTAATTTCTTTAAGAAATTTTTACCCAGATATAGCTTTCGCAGTTGAGGCAACCTTGTAAACAATCCTTTAGGTATAAATTCTATTCTATTTTTGGTTAAATCTAGGATCTTTAAAGCTGGCAAATCCAGATTGAGTGGCATTACGATAATTTTATTTTTTTGAAGATGAAGATACTCTATAGCGTGTGGTAGGCCAGGAATAAACTCGGTTATGGCATTATTCGAAATATCTAATTCATACAGATTCATGAGATGCTTGAATGTTGAAGGATGTATATTCGCTAAAGCATTGTTTGATATGTTGACAAATTCCAAAGCAGGTGTAGCCGCAAAAGATGCAGGATCTATAAATGTTAATTCGTTTCTACTGAAGTCCAGTTTTCTTAAAGATGGCAAGTCTGATAAAAAGTTGTGTTCAAGACGTCTACAATCAAAATATAATCTATAGATTGACTAAAATCATTATGTATCTACTGAATTTAATATTTAGATAACTTTTAATATAATATAAAGGGTGTCCCAATATTCCGTAGATATAGAACTATGTAGTGTATTATGATTCCTTTTGCAATCATATTCATTGCAAGTTCATTGGACACAACAATGACTAAAGAATACAAGGACATGTAACGCCCATATACGGACTGCAGCAGGCAGCAGAATTTGTGACCTTAGACGCCATTTTTTTGGATATAACGAATGAGTCATCAGCTGGCCATCAGCCAGTGGCGTAGCAACTGCTGTATCAGCTGTAGATATGCCCACTAACCTGAGGGGCCCACCGAGCAGTAAAAAAAAATATGATATTAGTATCAACATTTTTCGTAATTATGCAAACTTTGCTCATATTTTAATGAAACCCCGTATCAACTACAGCCAGAGCACGCGGCCATCACGCATTCGCCTGTCCTCGTATACATCAAACGGTTGCCAAAAATAAAAAGTAAAATTGTTATATACCTAATAATTATTGTTACCCTTCTTGATTTTAGTTTCATAATATTTTCTTGATTTTATTTTTATGTTTGTTTGTTGTTGGTTGTTGGAACGAATATTTATTGTATTTCTGTAGGTATAATTTTACCAAAGACCATGCGTTCCTTGTTTTGATATTTATGTTTATTGTTGGAAAGAATGTTTATTTTATTCCTGTAAGTAAAAGTTATTAATAAATAATAAGCTATTCTGATCAAACGGTAAGTTTTTTATTTTATTTAACCCCCCCCCTCCCACGGTTGTGTCTCAGAAGCCCTCTGCGAAATTCGTGATACAGGGCCCTTTCAATGCTCGCTACGCCACATCAGCAACAATTTTAGCGATTTTTAATAGTTGGTTGTGTGTAGTGAACTTTGTATAAACTGTATTACAATGGTAATTTGTTCAGTTTTCAAGTGTAAAAGGCGCAATGATAAGAAAGAGCCAGCCCAAGTAACATTCTTCGGAGCCTAAAGTTTCATTAAAAGGTAACGGATATTTATAAGAGGTCTATAAGGAACCTTAACATTTATAAGAGTGTTTAAAGTCTTATAAGAACACTATTGGTGTTAAAAGTTTTGTAACATCTCGAAAAAATACCAAAATACTTGAAGTTTTATAATATTGCATCCAAAATGTTTTCGTTACCTGATTTATAAAACCTTTGGTATTGGTTACTTAAGGTTTTTTAAAAGGGTTTTATAGCGTTCTTAAGAACCTTATTATAAAACTTTTACTCTTGGAGTTTTATAGCTTACTTCGTAAAACCCTTATAAATCCTAAGGCACCTAATAAACATTCTACAGCTACTACAAAACCTAAAGAATTTTATAAAACTTATAGGCTCAGTAGCAACTCCTTTCATGTGTAGAATAGGGGGCGCTATATTTTTAGGGTTAGGTTATGTTTTATGTTCCTGTTTTGCTTTTGTAAATCAAAGATGGAAGTAGAAAGAAAAATTGTAAAAAATTAAATACATTAGCAGTTTTTATAGAAAGTGCGTTAAAACCCGCGAAAATATTTTGGGAAGCACACCACCCACAACTACTAAAAATTACCAAAACTTAGACATTTCTCAAGAAGATATATTGCCAAATACTTCGACTGAATCGACTGCCACCGATGAAGGAAGGGGCAAAGGACCTTTGGAAGAATGTATAGATATCAGGGAAATTTGGTTAAAGACGGTGTTGATTTTCCATCTTCTGTGGTTTGGACAATTTTGAAGTGTATTGAAAGGCTTTGTTTTAATTATTTTGATTAAAAAATTGTTTTGCAAAAGCCAAAGCGCCCGAAACAAAAAGTGGGGTTATAGTCAATGGTCAAGTTTCTATAGAAATATTTTTGGTAGCTTATAAAACTATTAAGTATCACAAAAGCACCTCAGGTTTTATTGGAAGAGCAAAATTCCCATGACACCTAGGGAAGTGTTATAAGAGTTTTTAAAGTGTTGATGATTATTTAAAGGCCCATATAAAACTAGAGGTTTTTAAAAGGCGAAATGGCGAACATGGCGTCCTTTTATAAGGCAGCCATTTTATGTTTGTGTTGTACTTACACAAAAAAGGAGAATATTGCATTTTAAGCAATATTACCGAAGCTTTAAGACGTATTTTTTTCAAAAGCATGGGGTTAAGAAATGTTGCGCAGTTTATTTGCAAAAAAAAACAAATCATGAGACTTAAATTTAATTTTTGGTTTTTACAAAATAAATTATATTTGAGTTCTAAACGGGGGCGCTTTAGTTTTAAGAAGGGTAAAATGTTAATATTACTCGATAAATTTTCCGTGCCAATAAAATTTAGTCCTCATAGAATTCTTACAGAGTATTTAAGTTGTTATGATAATTATTATAACACGCCATTTTCATCAAAGTGAAAATCCGAGTAACGTTTTATAGGGAAATAAACAGTCCACTACACCTTTTTAGCGTTTTTTATCGAATTGGATGAACGGAATCGAACAACCGGGGGCTCGTTTAATAGAGAGTTTCTTATTCTATATTACAGCGTATAAACAATAATAATAAGTTTTTGCATGTAGACGCTAGGGGACGCTGTCTTACAATTTAACAAACATTGCGCGTTTTTCCAAAAAAATTAAATGCCATAGTATATGTAATTTTATCTGATAGTAAAGAGTAATAAAAACTTAAAATGCCAGCAAAAACCGCATCTTGATATCTTTTTTCAAACCAAAGTTATTAGCAAAATTATAATAAATACGAAAAAATAAGTCCTTAATTATCTTATTTTTCTAACACGGTATTACTAGCGCTCTTGATTATGAAAATTCTGACAAAAAATAAGATGGAAATGATTAGATTATTCTAAAATCGACAATATACCAGAATACCATAATACCAGATCTATGAATATCTAATAATAAAGATATCAATTTCAGTTACTAAGAAACGACGCCTCAGTGAAGTCCTGGAAGGCTTTGGAAAAAAGTTGCTTTTGACATAATAGTATAAGCGTCAAAGTGTTATTAGATCAACATTTGATTTGGTTTGATAGTCTTAGCAGCGTTTTTTCTCTATTGAAGAAAGGTATTTTTAGAAAAGCAATCAAAAGATAAAAAACGCTGCTGAGACTATCAAAATGTTGATATAATAATATTTTGATGTTTAAACTATCCCTCAGAAGCAACTTTTTTCCAAAGCTTACCATGAATTCACTGAGGCGTCGTTTCTTGTTCACTGTCATTGACATCTTAATTATTAGATATTAAGACACCTAGTATTCTGGTTCATTGACGATTTTTTGAATAAAACAATCTTTTTTATCTTTTTTTTAGAATGGTCATAATCAAGAGGGCTAGTGATACCGTGTTAGAAAAATAAGGTAATTCAGGGCCTATATATTTTAGTATTTATTATAATTTCGCTAATAACTTTGGTTTGAAAAAAAATATCAAGATGCGGCTTTAGCAGATTTATTAAGCTTTTATTACTCTTTAGTATCAGCTAAAATTACATATTCTATCGCATTTAATTTTTTTGAAAAAAACGCGTAATGTTTGTTAAGTTGTAAAAGAGCGCCCCCTAGCGTCTGCGTTCAAAAGGTTATTTTATTGTTTATGCAGTATAATACAGAGTAAGAAACGCTCTTTTAAACGAGATCTCATCTGTTGGATTCCGATCATCCAGTCCGGAGTTATTAACATTTAAATAAAAACAGATCTAACCTTCCCCCACCACTGTATTTTAGTAGATAGGGGAAAATGGTTCTAACAAAAAAGATCCAAAATTTACTGAAGATTATGAAGCTAGTATTTATAGTATATGTATTTATAGTATACCAAACCAAACCAAACCAAACCAAACCAAACCACCCCTCGCGACGGCCCTTGGTCCGTTATAGCATACTACGTTTAGATTACGGTGTGTTTGAAGTCCGAATCAAGTCCGAAGTGAGCTTTTCAGTAGTTTTTGATTTTGTTTAACATACTTTTGAATCTGCGAATTTTCAATATGGTAGGACAGTGTTAAATGTGTGGAAAAATAAGCTCAAATTACCCGAATTTGTCTTTTCACAGGTAGGTATTGTTTCCGCCGTAATCGTACATAGGCGTCCCACAAGGGAGCCTCTCACAATTAAAATAATTTCTAATTATATTTGTTGAATTTTGATCTATTAAAACAAGAACATAGTAGCCGGTAATTGAATTATAATTCGTCTCAATTACTACCTAACTGTTGTAGATCATAACAAATTTGAATATAAACGTTGCATATATTTGAAACTTTATTATATGCCAGAAAGTGACATTATTTTTTTTAAATTGCGTCATATTTTGGTCATTATATACGATATTCTAAAGGATTTTGCTCAACAAATAAACAAAGGTGTTTATCCGTCCTTTTTTACATTTTATTGCTTTATTATATCTTATATCTGCCCCTTCGGTCTTGTTTAGACAAGTTTTTACCACCGTACAATACAAATACCTCTTCCTTATTTGTACGGTGTGTTTACCTTTTTTAGAATGGGACGAACTGTAAATAATTCTTAGGCTACTAGTTTTATACATACCTATATACAGAGTAACCCAGGCCTTCAAAAAAGCTTTTTACCTATTACGTTTTTGGTTTGTGATTTTTATTTCAATCTTTACATAAGATCGGGGCCTTTGTAACGCACATTTTCAAAATATTTTTGTCCACATACAGGGTGATTCAAACCGCAATACATATGCTTAATGCAGTTCATGAAGATTGGGACGTTTAACTAAAATTCGATTGTCTGATTAAGCTACCTAAGTAATGGATTTGTAAATAAACGTAATATTCATTATTATGCGATAGAAATCCCATACTGTAGCACACAGATTTGATACTAAAACCTAAACTATCATTTGAGATTAAATGGGAAGTTCTAAATAATGTTGCCTATTCTAAACAAGAAAATTTTATTTATAAGTTTTATAACACCTCTAATTAAATTT